CCAAATGCCTTACCACATGGCAAGCAAATCATGAGGAGCATCCGGCCACTCCTTGTAGACAAGCGGCACAGCGTCCCGCTCCATACGCTGGTGGAGGGTGCGCATCTCGTCCACGAGCATTTCGCGCTGCCCAGGGACGACGAGCGTGCGTGGCCAACCAATGAAACGTGCCTCTTGCAAGCCGCTCGGCCCCGCATCGGGGGGTTCCGCCACCGCAGCCTTGGCAGAGGGCGAGATCCATGGGTTCCTCGGGGACATCTTCCCGCAGAAGGCGTTCACGCAGTAGGCGCCCATGGACGCGTTCGGCCCGAGGAGAAAATCCGTCTCATAATTGCGGATGAGGGAGGACTCGGGTCCTTCGTGAGAGTCGGAAAGGTCGCACCACGGGCTCAGGAGCACGGCCCCGGCAAGGCCGCTCCCGATGCCTTCCGAGTCCACGAGGTACCGCACGAGGGCGATCGCGAGGTTTCCGCCGGCCGAGTCGCCGCTGATGAGAATTTCGTGCGGGCTGAAGCCGAGGGAGAGCAGATAGCGGAAGCCGGAGATGGCGTCGAGCAACGCTGCGGGGAAGGGGTTCTCGGCTGCGAGTGGGAAGCCGGAGGACAAGCGGTACTCGACGGAGAGCGTGGCGCGCACCGTTTCGGAGTACCGCAGACAGTTGATAGGTGTAAAGGAGGTGAGCTCGGAAGGATGGGCACTCCCCGTCTGCTTGATGTCAGTGACATACCCAGCCCAAGCTGGCGGACAGGCACGTACGACGTACGACCCCCCGTGGAGGAACAGCATCACCCTGTGCTTTCCGGACGGCCCCGGATGCCCCTCCCGCTGCTCCATATCCCTATACACCACCTGCTCCGAGCCGCGAAATGCACGCCCGCCCCCGCGTCCAGCGCTCAGGCTCTCGACCGCCTCGCCCATCCAGTACGCTGGCACTCTCGCCCCTTCCACCCCTGCGGCTTCCGCCCAACCCCGCACGGGCTCCCCAACCTCCCTCACGTCCACACCCTCAATCCACACGAATCGAGCACCGTATTCGCTCTTCAGCACGGCCCGCTCGTGCTCCCCCGGCTCGTGGCGAAGGTCCGGCCGCGGAAGCTGGGCGGCGCGGAAGAACGTGTTGGTCGCCCATCTGATGAGCTTGGCGTTGACTGCGCGATGCAGCGGCCAGGTGGGCAGTGGGCGCCAGAAGGGAAGAAGATTGGATAGCGTCCAGTAGATGTAGAGCGATGGGAGGGACAAGAGGTTGATGATCAGCCAGAGTGCACGCTTAGGCTGCGTGAGGTAGATCGGGTACTTGGAAAGCTGTTCGTTGAGCACACTTGTTACACACCGCTGCTCGTCTTGTGCCATGAGATGAGTACGCTCGGTAGGACGAGCAGAATTGGATTCGCCCATCATCATTGGATATCAGAGGAGGGGAAGAGTTGAGCAGCATGGTTGTGTAAACAAACCGCGGTAGGGAGTCAGGGACTCCGCAGCGGAGAAAGGCTGCTATTCGCCGAAGTATGTTGAAATATAAGGAATGCGGGGATCAGCAGCACAACCGCAGCGGCCTCAAGAAGAGCAATAACATCCCATTAGAACATCACCACATTACACCCACATACAGCAGCCTCTGCATCTTGCCCAACCCTTGAGCAGCTGGTCATCGCCCGGGGACCACTGGCACCTCCAATTCCTCAACCTCATCAACCCACCTGCACACAAACCTGACCGCCTCCGTCCTCTCGGGCTCCATGAACCTACGCGCACCCAACACATCCATCAGCCATAATCCCACGCGCTTCCCATCCCTTCCCTCGCAGGAAACAAGGAAAAGCACGCACCAGAAAGAGAGGAAATCATGTGGGCACCCGTCCCACTCCCTGTACGTGAGGGGGACGCCGTCCCGCTCCATCCGCGTGCGCAGCGTACGGATCTCGTCTATTATCATCTCCCGCTCACCGGGGAGGAGGAGCGTGCGCGGCCAGTGAAGGAAGGTCCCTTCCGGGTACTTCGCCGCCGCCGCTGCCTCACCCTCAGTTCCGATAGTGGAAGCAGCGCCAGCGGGAGAAGGCCGCTTGGCAGCCGGCGAGACCCATGCAGACCACGGGCTCACATGCCTACAAAAGGCGTGTACGGAGTAGGTGCCCATCCCCGCCTCCAATCCCAAAATATAGTCCGTCCGATAGTTCCGTACCAGTGAGCACGCGGGAGAATGGTGCGAGTCTGTCATGTCGCTCCATGGGCTGAGCAGTACTAGGCCGGCGAGGAGAGCGCCGAGCTGGTCCACTTCCACGAGATACTTGACAAGGGCCAGCGCGAGGTTGCCCCCTGCCGAATCGCCGGCGATTATGATCTGCCCTGGGGCGAAGCCGAGTGAGAGGAGGTAGCGGAAGCCGGCGAGCGCGTCGAGTAGCGCTGCGGGGAAGGGGTTCACCGCTGGGTTGGGGGCGGTGGCCGATAGGCGGTAGTCGATCCCCAGTGCTGCGCGGAGGGTGAGCGAGTGCTTGAGCGATTGCAGGGGGAGGAAGGAGGTGAGCTGCGCGGGGTGGCCGCTGCCTGTCTGTTTGCTTGTCAGGTGCAGCTGAGGAGGGAGAAGAGGAGGACGGACGATGTAGGACCCGCCGTGTAGGAAGAGCATCACTTTCCCCTTCTCCCGCTCCTGGTCAGCGGGGAGCTCGACGTTCTCGCCCATCCAGAACCCCCTCACTCTCTCGGGCCGCACGCCCGCGCCCTCCGCCCACCCCCTCACTGGCTCGCCCACACCCTCCAAGTCCACCGGGGGGATCCACACGACCCTCGCTGCGTACCTCTCCAGCTCCCGCAGCTGACTCTTCGTCAGCTCCTGGCTCACGTCAGGCCGGGGGAGGGAGTTGCCGACAAAGAACGTGCGCGAGACGTATCGGATCAGCTTTATCCCCACTGTGCGCTTTATGGACCAGGTGGGGAGCGGGCGCCAGGAGGGGAGGAGGGCTGTGATGTGCCAGTAGGCGTATAGGGGCGGGAGGGCGAGGAGGTGGGTCGTTAGCCAGAGGGATTTGCGGGGCTGGGAGGCGTGGATCGCGTGCGTGGAGAGGAGCGTGTCGAGCACGGCGAGGTGGGACGTGTCGGGCGCGTCGAGCAGGGCACTGCGCTCGGTGGAGGTGGGAGCGCCGGTGTCGCCCATCGTTGGATGTACGGTGAGGAGAGGGAGGGGGACGACATGGACGGCCAACAGATATTTGGAAGAATCAGAGGTACGCGACGTCAGGGTTCCGTCGGCCCGCGAAATATCGGCGGCCGCGCAATGTCCGTCACATGAAATGTAACATTACACCACTTTCTATTATCTATGCAACTCTACCACTCTGTGTGCTCGACCAACCACCCCCTCGTAACCTCAAACGCAGCAAACGTCGCCCCCGCAGCGGGGATGCTCCTGATCAAGCTGGGCGACAGCCCGCTGAACAACCCCCGGTAACCGGATTCCCTGAGCACGTTGCGCATCTCTTGCGCTATGTAGTCCAGCCCCTTTGGCGGGTGGTCCGCCTGCTGCACGCGGGACTTGACGACGTCCAGTGGATAGCAGGCGAGCCAGTAGCAGATCTTCAACAGGACAGCTGTCAGAGACGAATTTTCGCGAGAGAGTTGGAGCCGGACGCACCCCGCCACACGACCCGCTCGTCAACAGCGCCCAGAAGGGCAGCTCCTTCCCATACTGCTTCCCCAATGTCCGCTTGGCAAACTCGTACCCGCCATAAAACCCCGCATAACCGGGGATCTCCCGCGCGACAGTCACCTACCCCAACCCCAGTCAGGAGGCCCGAGCCGGGCAGGGCAGTAGGAAGGAGGGAAAGGAGCGCACCCAGAACCCACGCATGATCCCCCTTCTGAACCCCCAATGCGTCCACATATCAGCCATGACGTGCCTGAGCCGCTTATCCCCCGGGCGGCCATACTGCGCCTGCATCCTAACCTTAAACATCTCCACTTTTCCCCCCGTCAGCCTCTTCCCTACCAACAACAACAAAAGGAGGAGAAGGAAGAGAGCGCACCGGGCGAAGCCAGCACAGAGTTCGCCGCGCCTGCCATTGCGCCTGCAGCCGCAATCTGCGGAATCGATAGGTCCGGGTAGGGGGAGACGATGCGCTTTGATATGGAGTAGGCGGCGAAGAGGAGCGAGTTGACGCCCGCTATGCCGAGGAGGGGGGAGGCCATGCCTGTCCATCACCCCGCCGCTGTGAGCTGGGAGTTGGAAGGGGGAGAGGGCGGACGCGCCTTTGTACAGTGCTAGGAACCCCTCCTTCCGCATCGTCTGTCCGATAATGTCCATAGGGCCTTTCTACCAGTTCTTCCCTCAGCCGCCCTCCCCACACCTCTCAAGAACGAGAAAAGAACTGACGAACATGCCCTCTACCCCTTGGTCAGCATCTCTCACACCGGCATAGTGGGAAGACACGTACTGGGCGCAATCTGCGCTCGAACCTTGACGGTGTCTAGCGGCTGGCCGACAAGGACTTGCGCCGCCCCGCCGATGCTGCCTGCTATGAGCTCGACGGCGAGCCCGGGGGTGCGTGGGCGAGAGGTGGGTTGGGAGGAGGACATTGATCGGCTGGAGCGTCAGGCGCTCTCTCGGGGAATGGCAATGGGGCAGCGAGAGTGGGACAGAGGTGCACCAGCGGACCAGAGAGGAGGAAGGCAAGGGGGAGAGGGGAAGTCAAGACCAAGGGCCAGGAGGAGAAGAGGGGAAAGAGGGCGTGGGGACACGACCGGAAACCAGCCTGAGCTGGGACGAAATAGGGATCAGGGTCTGGAATGTCGGAAACGTTGCGCGATCTTGGCATTCCACAACGCCGAAAGCGCCGTTGGGAACTACAAAACCATGTCAATCCAACTAATGGCGGTGTGAATCCTAAGGGGAAAGCAGAAGACAGGTTCTGTGAGTGAACACGGTGGTACCTATGAGGCAAAACGATCAGAAATTAAGGGGAAATGCTGACTTTCGGTTCCGTTGGCTTTAGGGAAGTGCACAAAACGGTTGCCCGTTGACCGGATTGAACGATCGACCTTATCATTACGAGTGACACGCTCTACCACTGAGCTAAACGGGCGGAACGTTTTGGATGTAACAATCCATGGTACCTTACATAGACAAGATCGCCACACGCATCTCTTCGACTCTCTTCAGAGCTTCGGCGAGAAACTCCATGTGTGTATTGGCGCTCCGCTCTTCTGAGGTTGATAACGTCATCGTGGGAGGAACCTGCAGCTGGTGAGAGCTCTCACACCCGCACCAAGGTGCGCTTCGTATATATGCGTGTATATTCACGTCCGATTAGTCATAACAACCTATAACCATATGGCCCAATTATGTGGTATATCCAGCTCATGAGTGGAGTGCTACAAGATAGAGAAGATAAAAGAACAGAGTCCACGGGTGAATCCTAAAGTCCTTTAAGCGGAGCTACGACGCGCCAAACATGCACACCCCGCAGCTGCTTGCTGTCACCGCCGTGTCCTTGAAATCGCACGACTGCAGGCCCATCGTGCACACCTGGCTCGGGAGGGTGCCTTTCAACTCCGAGTTCTGGTGCATGTCAAGGACCTTGAGCGAGCTGGGCAACATGGAGGGGAGGCTGGATAGGTTGTTGCTCGATAGGTTCAGGTCGGTCAGGGAGGTGAAGGCGCTCAGCGTGCTGGGGAGCGAGGAGGAGAGGCTGTTCCCGGACAGGTCGAGCGTCTGCAGTGACGTGACGAACGCTGCACTGGAGGTGAGGAGGGCGGTCAGGTCCGTCTGCAGGTCCTGGCCATTGACGATACTGGATTGTCTATGAGTGTTGTTCAGCTTGATGCAGGAAGAGTACGTACAGACTAGTCAGCGGTAATTCCGTCACGGAGCTCGGCAAGGTCTTCCCAAGGTTCGAGTTTCCGGCCAGGGTAAGCTGCTGCAGCGCTTTGAGCGCGTCAAAGGCGTTGTCGGGCAGTGCCGCCAGCCCAGTGGTCTGCAAGTGCAACGTCACGAGATTGCTGAGCTGGAGCAGACTTTGAGGGATAGAGCCAGCTGCGAGACAGGAGTCAGCAACAATCTCGCTTCGGTCTGTTGGAAGTGCTTACTCGGTACCAGCCCGTTGCCGGTGATCTGCAGCATCTGCATGCCCACCATGCCGCTCATCGAGCCCTCCGAGAGCGTCTGCGGCACGGCAGGGAAAGTCATCAGCAGCTGTGTGACCCGACCTGTACTGTCGCACGTCACGCCCGACCATCCCGAGCACGGATCGGCGTTGTTCATCCACCCCACGCTCGTCAGCGGGTTTACAGAGCCGGAAGAGGAGTTGGCCGATGCTAGGAAGACCGTCTGCAGGGAGCAGAACTGGAGGAGCTGCCCGGCCGAGACACCGCCCGTGTTCGGGTCCGTCGGGCTGGCTACGAAGCCTGGGGCGAGGTCGTTCGGCAGCGTCGCCACGAGTGAAGCACAGGTGCCGCATGGATAGCTGAGCGGATTCGAGGGTGCCGAGAGCTGGAACTGCGTGAGGCAGCTCTGCAGTGCAGGGCTGAGCGGAGTCGCGGACGGCGTCGCCGTTGTTGACGCAGGCGTGGGCGTGGGCGTGGTGGTGAACGTCACTGTGGCGGTTCTGGTCGTGAGATAAGTCGTCCCTGGGAGAGTGACGGGCGCGACTGTCGGCTGGACAGTGAATGTGACAATCGGAGCTTCGTTCGAAACCGTCGTGTTCGAAGATGTCGTCACGCTGGAGCTCGACTTCGCAGCACGGCTGCCAAAGACGCCCCCGAGTGTCGCCAGAATGATAATGATGATGATCAGGATGATGATTATGCACCATCGACGCTTCTTCTTCTTCTTGTCGTCCTTGACCGCATTCTTCTGAGCTGGTCTCCCATGCCTGTCTACTGGGCTTCGGCCCCGCTTCTCGTGGTACTCAATCTCCAAATTGACGGGAATAGCGACGCTCATCCTTCTCGGATATCCATAGTCCGGCGAGTTGGCACGAGGCTGCTGCAGAAGCATGAGCGGCCTGAGAGAACCTGATTCCGACTTGGTGGATGGTGAGAGGGGGCGAACATCAACCGTTGGCGTCTCGAGCAGGCGATTGGTCTCGGGTTTAGGGGCAAGTGCCGGCTGTATCGCAGCGGGTAAACCAGCATGGAATGGGTAAGGCAAGTTGACGAACTGCCGCACAGCCTCGATCCTTCTGCTCAGCCGATGGGAGAAGGTGGTCTTGGTGGACGCGTTACGCTGGGGCATGGCCCGCTCCACGTCGACATTGTCCACCGTGCGGTCCTTGATCGGCGATTTTGGGAAGCGGAAGACAGATGCGGGGAACGTCGGCGCAGTCGGAGTGTCCGGTGAGAACTTGGACGGTGCGTCGACGTAGGTCGCTGACGGCGGGATGACATCGTCCTGGCTCTGCGTGCGGGCTGGACGAGCAGGACGAGACGGGGAGCGGGGAGGAAGTGGAGGCGGAGGGCCAGGGTAGATGATCATCGAAGGGATGAACATTGATCCAACTCGAGAGACAGGATCCCAGCGGCCTGACTGGCTGGGAGGAGTCGGAGGAGGCAGGTGCTCGTGGAACCTCGACTCATGGGAGGAGATCGTGTTCACACTGCTGGTGGACAACTGCCACGAGTTTCGTAGCTGAGGAGGTACAGCACGAGGAGATGCAGGAAGTGAATCGCGGTAGGGCGTAGAAGGCATTGTGACTAGAGGACCTGGTTGGCGAATAGGTTCAAGCGAATGTGCAGACTGAGCTTGGGTGGTCGACCAGGCGGAAATGCGAGTTGGTAAACCGTGGTTCTATGAGTCAAGAAATGGACCCAGTCCAAAGGGGAAAGAGATGAGAGAGCAACAGATTAACGGTCAACGTTTGTTGCCCGACGAGAGGTGGTGTAGAGGTGGTGGTGGTGGGAGGGAGTCAAGGAGTGTCTCCCTCCGTCGCCCCGTCCAGGGCCAGTGAAATCTCATACCCGATCTGGCCAGCCACGAGGCTTCCGCAATGTAATGTCGGCAGAGAACAAAGTACGTCATCCCGGAGGGGACTCAAACAATAGCGGATCGCACAATAAGGCCATACTCGAGAGCGACGCCATGGTCGTGTGCGGAAGGACAATGTGGGCCAGTGAGCCACGGAGCTAAATTATAGACAAAGCTTCGCGAAGGGCCCTGAGGCCTGGGCATGTGAAAGAGACGGAGGCGGATTTTGGCGCTGAGCTCCTGACGACCACGCCGCTGGACAGCCAATCGCCGCCCTCTCCCACAATTGTTGTCTCGGCGCATTCAGACCACTGGTGGCAACAAGCAGTCGGGCTTGGGAGTCGCCAGAACGAGCCAACTGTCGATGGAATGAGCTCCCGCTCGTCGTTCAGCTCAACCGATGAGCCCGATGATACCGACTCCGATACTCGAGCTACTTTTGACGATGAGCCCGATCGTCGCGAAGATGAGGAGATCGAGATCCATACCTCTGTCCGCTCTCAGCAGCGAGAAATAAAGAGCCAGTCCAAGGATGTTTACAATCGTTTGCGCTCCATCGCGACCGACGCGGCGTTCATTCAGCGTGTTCGCGAAGAATACCCGGACCTTGCACTCATGCCAAACGCGCGGTGTGGCCTGTGGTATTGCCCGGTACGGAACATTTCAACAAACGGTTCCGTCTCATACTCAATCTGCCGCAGCTGCAAGATGGTGTGACTACGGCTTACTTCAAATCGACCGACGGTCACACGAATAACTACAAATTCTCGCTTCGTCGGCCAAATCTGCACGTAATCCCGATCATCGAGGAGCACGGGGGCATAATCCTCGTTGACTCAACTCGGCGAGGGAAGCTATTTCCAGACGCGCTCTCCAAGACGGTACCGATCTGGTGTGCAGTCATCAACACCGCTTTAGGCTTCCCTCTACCCGAGGGACAGGAGTCGTGGTTGTTCACACCACCTCGTTCAGTATCGCCATCGGAGCATGCGGTGATCTCAAGCCTCATTGCCGGGTTTGTGAATTCCCTCCGACGGTCGGCGCTGGTCTTGCCGATGCTGGACAAGCCGCTCAGGCCATTCTGGATACATCCGCAGACCACCTCGTTGCCGTCTCTGGCGTCAGCAACCGAGCGCGAGTTCTATCCTGTTTTGTGCGTCTCAGCGAGCAGACAGGTGGAGGGGACCCACGAGGGCCTCGCACAAGACTGGGGTGCGGGATGGGGATACGTCCAAGGCGCCGGAGACGACGAAGAGAGCTGGTCCGAGGGCCTTACTCCGCAGCTGTACTGGGCACACGAGGCGCAACTCGACACGTGCTCAAGATCGGATCTCCCGGAACTGATTCGCTCGTTGGTCGAGCACCAGGACCAGGACGCGACGCAAGGTGCTGAATCGCCTTCACCAATAGCAGCTGTCAACGGTCTTATCGCGGTAGGGCGACACCCTCTGCCGATCGGCGCCGACGATACCTTCACTGTGACAATCCTTGCCTCTTCCGACCCTCCGCCGACAACCGAACCGGGCAACTTCATCTTCTCCCTCCCTTCCTCCTTCAAGCACGCGCAATCGGACTTTCAGATGCACATCGTGCCCACCATCGCGTCTCTCAGCCAGCAGGCCCTGTCTTTTGGAAGGAGCGTCGTGCTCGCTGACGACACGCCGAATTCGGAATGGGCCGCCCCGCTCGCGGTCATCCTCCTGCAGATGTTCTTCGACGACAACGGCCGATGCCTCCCATCCACCCCGCCGGACAGCGCTCTCGAAGAAAACGCCTGGAATGGTGACGAGCGACCTGTGTCGCCCGCATTCCAGGTCGATGTCGACAAACAGTCGCTCACCCGTCGGCTGCAGTGGGTCATCCAAAGTCGTCCTGCCGCGAACCCGAGCAGGGCACAGCTCAAGGCTGTCAATGTCTTATTCATGTCGGGCCCTCACCAGCGGAGGGGTGGGAGACGGCAAGGGAAAGGCTGATATGCGCGATGGGCAACATTGGTCAAAACTCGACAGTGGTCGGGCCAGAGGAGGGGCGCATATATGCAGGTGTCGTACCCTGCCAGCGTAACCGCGGCATGGAACATGTGCATCTCATATTCGAGGCGAACGGGCCTTGACGCACACC